GAGGGAGAAGCAGGCTTCCCGCCGAGCAGGGAGCCCGATGCGGGGCTCGATGCGGGGCTCGATCCCAGGACCCTGGGATCATGACCCGAGCTGAAGGCAGATGCTTAACGACTGAGCCACCTTTAAGATATTTATTTAAGATAAATAAAATCTTAAAGAAAAAAAGAATGTAGGAACCTTAGGATAGTTTATTTCCATTTACTTCTCCTGGCCTCTGTACTATTGTTATATGATTTGCATATACATCCAAAGCTACATGGTTTTTGTTTTTGTTTAAACAGTAATTTATCTTTTGGTGAGATTTAATTAACAAAAAAGTCTTACATATTTACCCTGTAGTATCATCTCTAATGTTCTTCATTCTCTTGTGTAGATCCAGATTTCTATCTGTTATTCAATTATACAAACATTTAGCCTCTTGAGGTTGTCCTTCTGCTCAGTAGTATTCTATTAGCTATTTTTTGAAGTTTATTTTGTCTGTGTCTATCCCAGCACTTTGAAGAGCATCTGGCACACAGTAGGTGCTTTCTAATCAGATACCACAGAGAAAAATTTCACACACAACCACATCCATTAGACTAATGCTCAGGACCTGTCACACACATTATCCTATTACATTCCTACTCCACTCTCCACCAGTCAGTCCCTTTCTATTATAACACATTCTCACAGATAACATCACAAATGTTACACAATAACACAATCTTACACATGGTCACAGAAAACCAGCATGCCCACCCTGACACCCAGAGTTTTACACAGAAACACACACAATGACAGAATCAAAGAGTCACATACCAACTCACAAAATTACAGTCATGTGACAGAACTTGTGGGGAGACAATAAATAAAAACTTAAAATATAAACACTATTGTTCTACGAGAGTATAGATCAGATCAAGGCGGCCAGAGAGGTGTGATCAGGGAAGGCCTTTTTGGGGATGTGACATTTGTATCTGAAAGGACAGAATAAGAGAACTTTGAAGATACCCAGCAGAAGAGCCATTTTAGGAAGGGGGGACACATTCACACCCATAATCACCAAATCACAAATACAAGAACCGTATGCAAAAGGTGACATTCTCCTCTCCGATCTTCAAGGTAACCCATTGCCGAACCAAAAACACCAGGGAAGGCGAGACTGGGTGGAAGTATAGTGCCCCTGCGCACTCTACTCTCTGCTGTCCCCGTCCTACACATTTTTTTCGGGTAGGAGCTCGCCCTTCACCCCATTTGTGTGGACGCGCACACACGAACCGCACCCCCTGCGGCTACTCGGCGCCTCTAAGTTCTCCGCCCCGTTGCAAAGGGAGGTGGACCAAGCACTTGTGCCTGCGCACTTCAATCCCAGTCCGTCTAGTTGACGCTCGACCCGGTTCCTTTGACGGACCCAGGCCCCGAAGTGAGATTTGGGTTCCTTCTGTACGGCCAGAGAGAGGCCGGCGTGGGAGGACCCGGGGCAGAGGGGGCGGTGTTACCAAGCCCCAGCGGCGCCGCGCCAGGGCAGTCGGGTTCCGCAGCGCCGCTTTTTCTGGTCTGGACTACATTTCCCAGTGGCCCCTGCGAGCACTGGGCCGGCGGCCCCTTTGTGTCCTCCGGAGGCCCAGTCGCTTCTTTCCGGGCCCGCGGGGGTGGGTTCCCATCAGACTCTCAGGGCAGGAGGTGGGCCGGAATTGAGATAGCCAGAGCCTTCGGGGCGGGGACGGGATCTTCCCGCAGTTCACTTTTGCAGGTAGGGAATGGGCTGAGGAGTGGCCTGTGGGTCACCCGGACGTCGGTGCCCGGGCCCTCGGTGTGACTCTAGGTGCGAGATGGTGGTTGGTTGTCACACAGTGTTGAGACTGTCATCCGATGTGCCTGTGCACGTCGTATGTGTGACTGTGGGTGCGAGCGAGTCGATGGTTGATGCTACGGAGTGTGAGACTGTGAGTGGGGGTGGGAGGGTATTGTGTCCCCCGTTGTTCCAGTACCCACGGCCTCTTTGTGACTGGGGTTGTGTGAATGTAAACGTCGGTTGTGATACCTTAGTTTTTGAGACTTGGGGCTGTGGGAGAGGTGACGGTGTGAGACAGCTCATACCCATGGCCGCTGATTGTTCTGTGTGTAAGACCGTGGTTGGCGCTGTAGTTTTTTTAAGAATGAGTATGTGGGGGGACTGAGTGAGACTGTGTGCCACCAATATCTTTTGAAGCTAGCCAGGTGATGCCAGTGTGCCACCAAGTTTCAGAACCACTGGTCTGTTGGAGAGGAGAAAGCCTGGAGTCGGGAAGACCTTTGTTTGATCTGGGTACTGTTACTCATTAGTTGTGTGCCTTTATGTAAATGATTACATTCCTTGTAGTCTTTATTTGTAAAAATCTAGGAAAATCTATTGCTAAAATAATAAATTAGGAAGTGATTTAGACATGAGTTAAATTGCATGCAAACAAATTTCTAGGTCTCCAGTATGCTTTCTATTGGAAGGAAGGGTGCAGCAGAAGGAAAGAGAAGCTGAAAAATTCTAGGCTGGCGATTCTGGATGCTGCAAGGAAACCCTAGTTTTTCGTGTTCTCTTCCCCATCTCAGTCATCTGAGGACACTGCCATTTCCCAAGAGAAGAGCCAAGAAGAGGAAAGAATGGCTGTTGGACTTCTTAAAGCCATGTACCAGGTGAGTTGGTGTTTCCTATTTCCTGAAATATTTTCCTGCTCTTTAAACCAAACAGACATTAACTTTGCTTTTGCTGAAACTTTTCTGGGTAACTAATCATGTCACTTGTTAAAACCCTCCAGCAGTTGATTCCCACCTCATTCAGGATAAATGCTGAAGTCCTTGACTTAGCCTGCAAGGCTGTACATAATCTGGTCCCAGACTATCTTTCTGAGCTCAGCTAATCACTCCATTTGTAACTCAGTTCTAGCCATTCTAACTTCCTTGTAGTGAGCTGAGCACTTCTTTTTTTTTTTGAGCTGAGTACATTCTTTTTTTTTTTGGATTTTATTTATTTGTCAGAGAGCGCACAAGCAGGTGGAGTGGCAGGCAGAGCAGGCAGAGGGAGAAGTAGGCTCCCCGCTGAGCAAAGAGCTTGATGCAGGACTTGATCCCAGGACGCTGGGATCATGACCTGAGTTGAAGGCAGCTGCCTAACTGACTGAGCCATCCAGGCATCCCTGAGTTGAGTACATTCTTAACTCATAGCCTTGCACTTGCTGTTCCCTCTGCCTGGAACGCTGTTCCCCAAGATACAGACTAACTTCTTCATTATAGTCTCTGCCCAAATATTCATTCCCTCAACAATTTTTATTGAGCACCTGTTAAGTAAGAAGGCTTAGTCCTTGGTCCTCTTCACCTACACTCACTCCTTTGGTAATCTTCTTCTGTCTCATGGCTTTAAATGCCATCTATATGCCAACAACCACCAAATTATATATAGTCCAGACCTCTCTCCTGAAATCCATACTTGTATATCCAGCTACCTACTTAGCATCTTCATTTGGTTGTATAATGATACCTCAAACTCAAATGTCTCAAACTTAGTGAAACAAGCCATTGGAAGTTTGGGGGCATAGAAGTGACATGATCTATTTCTCACTTAATAGAATCACTCTGGCTGCTATTGAGAATAAACTGATTGGGACAAGGATAGAAACAGGGAAACCAATTAGGGACCTTCTACATACTTCCCTACCTCAGGTGCTCAAGCTAAAAGTTTTCCATCATGAAGTTCTGTTTGTTCTATGTTCAAAACATATCCAGAAGTTGACCACTTTTACTACCACACTGCTTCTGTTCTGGTCCAAACTGTCATCTCTCACCTAGGTTATTGCTATGCTCTTCTAACTTTTCTGTCTACTTCTACCCTTCCTCTCTTTTAGTCTATTCTTAACAGAGCAAAGTGATTCTGTTACACATGTATTATATGATTCTTCACGGCAGGAATAGAAATAATAGAAAGTATAGACAACTCTTTCAAACAGTTTAGCTGTGGTAACTTAAGTGTGGTCAACAAGGTTTTTTCAAGATGGGTTTATAGCTGTATTCTGATGTTTGAGATTCAGTAGAAAGAGAAATTTGAAGATGAAGAGAAGTGAAGAGGGGACTGCTGGAACACTGCCTGAGGAGGAAGAGGACCTGCGGTCTCGTGGACAAGTGGAGGGGTTGGCCTTTGCTAAGAAAGTGGCTGTTCATATAGGCTAGTAATAGGAGCAAGTTAAAGTATGTTGGGACAGTGCAGATAGATGTGTAGATATTGTGGGAGTTTGTGGAAATTCTCTTAGAATGGATTTTGTTTTTTGAGTGAAACAGCAAGATTATTAGTAAGGATGAGGAAAAAGGTATTGAAGATGTGAGGAGAGAGGGAAAGTATGGAATGGTCATTTAGGGGAGTGGGACATGAATGGACTGGACCAATGTATCATATAGGCATTTTGGCCTTTTTGAAGTTAGTGTCATGAATTTAAATTGAGACCAGTTAGCATGATTGGTGTGATTTTCTCCAGCAAAGTACAGCTGTTCAGGGTACAGAAATAGAGTATGCTGAAGATGGCAGTGGTTTAACCAGGTGGGTAAGGGCAGGGAAGTTGAGGGTATATGCATGGGGGTGATTAATAATAAATGGCTATGCTAGGAAGTGAGAGGATGTGGGATTGAGAACAGTGAAAACGTGGTAAGTCAGTGATTTGTAGGTTCTAGTGGGGTCAAAGAATTATCCTAATTGGGGTACCAGAGGGCAAAAGTTGGAATATAGGAGGTAGAAGTCAGAGTGGGAGAGTTGAGATTAGGGAGGGTTTGCTACTTATTGGTAATGACAAAGTCTGGGGCATGGCATTGGAAGTGAATGACTATTGAAGTGTGGAGGACAAGACTACTGGAGGAGAGAAGGGACACAGAACTGAGAGGCCTGGTTGTTGGATTATTTATACAGATATTGAAATGACCAAAGATTATGTGTGATAGGAGTAGCGTTGGAGAGAGTGACAGTGAGCCAGGCGCTGAAGTGTTCAAGGAATGACAGAATATTGGTATCTACCAGGAATTGGTAGACAACTAAAACAGGGAGGGATGACAGAGTCTAATTTCATGACATTTAAAACTAGGTGCCTTCTCTCTTTGCCGCATCTCCTGCGAGAATGAAGACCATTCTCAGCAATCAGACTGTCGACATTCCAGAAAATGTCGACATCTCTCTGAAGGGACGCACAGTTATTGTGAAGGGACCCAGAGGAACCCTGCGAAGGGACTTCAATCACATCAATGTAGAACTCAGTCTTCTTGGAAAGAAAAAGAAGAGGCTCCGAGTTGACAAATGGTGGGGAAATAGAAAAGAGCTGGCTACTGTTCGCACTATCTGTAGTCACGTACAGAACATGATCAAGGGCGTTACACTGGGCTTCCGTTACAAGATGAGGTCTGTGTATGTTCACTTCCCCATCAACGTTGTTATTCAGGAGAATGGTTCTCTTGTTGAAATCCGAAATTTCTTGGGTGAGAAATACATCCGCAGGGTTCAGATGAGGCCAGGTGTTGCTTGTTCTGTATCTCAAGCCCAAAAAGATGAGTTAATTCTTGAAGGAAATGACATTGAACTTGTATCAAACTCAGCTGCTTTGATTCAGCAAGCCACAACTGTTAAAAACAAGGATATCAGAAAATTTTTGGATGGTATCTATGTTTCTGAAAAAGGAACAGTTCAGCAGGCTGATGAATAAGATCTGAGTTGTCCATCCACAGAAACAGCAAGATGCTGGATGATTTTTCATACTTATTTGTGATATTTTAAAGATGCAATAAAAGCTATACTGGTTTGGGCAAAAAAAAAAAAAAAACAACTAGGTGTCTTTTAGGGAGGTGGGAGGGGTAATGGTCTAGAAACAAAGGTAAGGAGCAAAGAGATCACCTGCCTTACCTCCAGGTGCTGTGGTACAAGGAATGTGGGAAATAAGACAGTCACCACATGACAGGGATTCAAGGGAAGTAGTCAGTCCTCTCAGCTGGGAAACATGTTTCTATGAGGGCAGAAAGGTGAAGAGAACTGTTGACTTTCTTCATCCTGGTTTGATTACAATTATGAATGGATTTTGAAACCAAGTATTTGGTTAGAGATCAAAATTTATTTTTAATTTTTTTTAAATTCCAGTGTAGTTAACTTACAGTGCTATATTAGTTTTCAGGTGTATAATATAGTGATCTATATATTAGTTCTATAATAATATATAGTTCTATATATTATTTGGTGTTCATCAAGACAAGTGCATTCCTAATCCCCTTCACCTATTTCACCTATCTGCCCCCCCCAACCTCCCCTCTGGTAACCATCTGTTTGTTCTCCATAGTTAAGAGTCTGTTTTTGGTTTATCTCTCTTTTTTTCCCCTTTGTTCATTTGCTTTGTTTCTTAAATTCCACATATGAGTGAAATCGTATGGTATTTATCTTTCTCCGACTAGCTTATTTTGCTTAGCATTATCCTCTTTAGCTCCATCATATTGTTGCAAATGGCAAGATTTCATTTTTTTTATGGCTAAATAATATTCCATTGTATGTATAGAGAGAGGTCAAATATTTTAAGAGATCAATTGTTAGAGGTCAGATATTTTAAAGTAATAATTTAAGCTCATTATGTTGACATTGTCATTATTTTCATTAACTTTCATTAAAAGAATCATTGAAAAATGAATGTCATGCGCACCTAGGTGGCTCAGTCGCTAAGTAACTGCCTTCAGCTCAGGTCATGGTCCCAGGGTCCTGGGATCGAGTCCCACATCGGGCTCCCTACTCCACGGGAAGCCTGCTTCTCCCTCTCCCACTCCCCCCTGCTTGTGTTCCCTCTCTCACTGTGTCTCTCTCTGTCAAATAAATAAATAAAATCTTAAAAAAGAAAAAAAAGAAAAATGCATGTCATATATTAAAAAATAGTTATACATTTATTATATATGTTTATGTAAGGTAAGGAAAACATTTTTGGAAGCATATATGGCATATGAACCAAACTCTTAACAGGAACATTTCTGCAACAAATGTTCCTGTTATATTATTGGTAGGGCAGAGATGAAGAAACTCACAAACTACTTCATATAATTATAAATAAGAAAAAAGTTACTGTAAAAAACATTTTGTTTTTGTATTGTAAAACACATTTTTAAAATAACTTTGAAAGAAATAAAGAATTTTTTTAAAGATTTTATTTATTTGAGAGAGAGACAGAGATAGCGACAGAGATAGTAAGAGAGAGCATGAGTGGGGAGGAGAGGGAGAAACAGGTTCCCTGCTGAGCAGACAGACACACACAGACGTTAATTTTCATCAGCAGGTGGTCACATTATAGAAACCTAGAATCCAGCTGAATCACAGCATAGCTCCAAGTTCTTAAGAACTTTGCCCAGCCTACAGGCAGAAGCAGTATTCTGAGCAGAACACCCATTTCTTTATACAAAATTTTAAGTACTCTGAATTAAAGTATTTGAATTTTAATAGAATTGATGATTTGCTCTCCTTGGTCTAGCACAATTTTCAGAGATACAGCAAGCACTTTCTGGTCTCATTTTTTTAAAGATTTATTTATTTATTTGAGAGAGAAAGAGAAGGTGCGCAAGGGGAGGGGCAGAGGGAGAGAGAGACTACGCGCTGAGCACAGAGCCTGACACAGGGCTCGATCTCAGGACCCTGAGATCACGACATGAGCAGAAACACCCACTAGTGGGATGCTTAATTGACTGTGCCACCCAGGCACCCCAGCACTTTCTGGTCTCATTTTTTTTAAGATTTTATTTATTTGCGAGAGAGAGAATGAGAGACAGAGAACATGAGAGGGAGGAGGGTCAGAGGGAGAAGAAGACTCCCTGCTGAGCAGGGAGCCCGATGCGGGACTCGATCCCGGGACTCCAGGATCATGACCTGAGCCGAAGGCAGTCACTTAACCAACTGAGCCACCCAGGCGCCCTGGTCTCATTTTTGATCCATAGTTTCTTGAACTTTTCAAACCATTCATTCATTAATTCAGTTTATTCAGCAAATATTTGAATGCGTCATGTGTGCCAAATACCGTCCTATAACTAGGGATATAGCAGTGAGCAAAGCAAAAATGTACTCTGCCCTCATGGACTTCACATTTTAGTGGAGGCTGGGAGCAGACAGTAACAAAATAATTAGGTGCCATGCCGAACAATAAAGGAGGGTTAGGGAAATAGGGAACAGGAGTAAGAGCTTGCTATTTTTGTACAGAATGATTTGAGAAGTACAAAAGGCCTGAGGGGAAACATGCTTGACATCTTTGGTTTGAGGATGTAATGTCAGGGAGAGCCCAGTATGCCTAGGGCAGAACAAGTAAGGTGAATATGGTAAGAGATGAAGTTATTTCATTCATTTATTTGTTTTATTTCAGGAGTTGGTAACCTTCAGAGATGTGGCTGTAGATTTCTCCCAAGAGGAGTGGGACTGTCTAAATTCTTCCCAGAGGCATCTGTACAGTAATGTGATGTTGGAGAACTATAGGATCTTGGTGTCCCTGGGTAAGAATATCTTGTCCGTGTAAAACTGAGTTTCTATACATAAGGGCCTCTTTGCTACCACCACTGTGAATCTTTGGATGGCATCCTCAGTGCTTGGCTGGATGTCTGTTGCTGTGCCAAAGCAATGGTTTAATATTTATAAAGTTGCCAGTGGACGGGTCTGTTATTAATCTGTGTTGGAAGCTTCAGCTTTCCTATATTTTGAATACACATCCTTTACACATTTATCCCTGTCTTACTGTAAACTCCCCCTTCCCTGTTGATTAAAGGATTGGTTATGAGTTCTGGGATATCTACAGCATGACCAAATTGTTTCTTCTCATACATGCAGGACTTTGCTTTTCTAAGCCCAGTGTGATATTATTGTTGGAACAAGGGAAAGAGCCCTGGATGGTGAAGAGAGAGCTGGCAAAAGGCCTGTGCTCAGGTGAGTGAAGAGGAAATAGGCAGGCAAAAACCTCTGGAGGTGACGGCTCAGCTTGACTTAGAGGCACCTCTTCACTCTTCTTTGTTGGCATGTTCTCAGATGTTCTAGGTCTTACTAGAAACTTGAGGCCTTTTAGAGTGTTCTCCCAAATTTGTTATTCTTCACTGTCCCTCCTTTAATACTTTGCTCCCTCCTTTCTAAGAACTCATTTATCTATTCTGAGTCACATTCCTTCCCAGTTTCGTAAGTCTCTTCCAGTCTTTAAAAAACTTTTCCTAATCTGATAAACTTTTGAGTTGTACAGACAGCTGTAACTAAAGTGCCAGGTTCAAGTCTTGACACTTACATGCAGTAAAATTTTGGGCAAGTTACTTAACCTCTCTGTACTTTTATTTTGTCATCTGTAAAATGGGATATACTTTTAAAGTGCTTTAACAGTTCCTTTCTC